ACTAGACTAAGTGATTGATAATCAGGGCAGCCACGTATTGGCCCCTTCCCGTGGTCATGGCATTCTTCTAAGGACCCAAGCTGTTTCAGACCTGGCATGTATGTCTGTTGGCTGAGATGGTGTGCACTGGCAAGAGTGGGCTCCCACTCAACATTTGAAAGGTTGTCAGAGTCTGCAGGGAGTGCAAAATTTGTTTGGTTGACTGATTAACCAATCTTCTCTTTTTTCTGAAAATTTTTTCAGAAATATTTTAGATAGAAACAATTCTTTTTCCCCAGACTTTCCTGTTATCGTCCATTTTCTTTTAAGATATCTAAATATGTTCATTTTTTTTCACTAAGAGATGCCAAAGCAATTAAATTCTGTGTAAATCAAAATTTCAGCTATTAGTTCCATTTTGTTCCCACTGTATCTAAGCTCCATCATTTGTTTATTTATATGTATAGACATGTATGTGCACGTATAATTCATGCCACACTTTTTTCCTCTCTACTACTTTAAATAACCTAGAAATATACTTTAGATGGATTTGTCCACAACTGCTTTCTAATAATTTTGAAACTCAACTGACTCCTTAAAGTGAATTAACCCACGGGTGCTTAGATCTTTGGGAATATGCTGTAACTTCCTGTATCACTGTCACTCCAGTCAGTATCCTTGAACTTCTAGAAATACCCAATAGAGCCTCGTGGGATTTCAAGGTGTTTTAGTGGATGTAGGTTGGACAGCGGCCAGTCTACATCCCTTAAAGCACATTTCAAGGTCCTCTAAATGTGAGGAGCTCTGATTTCTTATTTAATTCTTATATAATCCTGGTGAAGTAATAATAAAGTAGCAGTATTTTGGGGTTCAGGTGTTTTTACCTCTATTAAAACTGAGGCTCAGGGTAGCTAGGCTGTTCAGACAGTTAAAGGCTTACCTTTAAAGGAGGAATGCCTCTTTTGACAGGGCTTTTGCTCAGAGATCCTGGACTCACTATGCACCAATGAACATAAACAAGATTTCATTCTGTCTCTAAGATCTGTCTGGCCTAAATGAGAAGAGAATGCTTTATAACCACACCTGTGAGTTAAGGACTTCAGCTTCTTACATGCTGGACAGGATGCAGCTTATTCCCAAGTGGAAAAAGGCGTGTACACAGCTGCAGCAGGTGTTGGGGAAACTGTCTTGCCTCATCTACAGTCTTTGTATTCCAAAACATGACATAGACAGCGTGTGTCCTGTTCCCTCAGGCTGTCACTGAGAGGCCAGCTGTGTCCTTTAATATCCTTGGGGCCAACTGCGTGTAGTCCTGGCCTTTTCTGATGGTTACTAGGCACTCAAACTGAGTTACTACACACTGATAAGCCCCCTTTAAAGTGTGTGTGTGTGTGTGTGTGTGTGTGTGTGTGTGTGTGTGTGTATGAGTCATGCTCATATATTATAGACATATCACTAGCATTAAAATTCAAATCTTGCATTATCATCTAAGTATATCATTCTTTATTTTTAAGGCTCAAAGTCTTCAACTAAATTTGGAAATAAACTGATGAGCAAAGAAAACAATTTTCACTATAAAGGAGCATTATTTGGGGAATTCCATTCTCTCCCTTAAAGTGCCCTAAAAGTCCCTCCTAAGAGAAAGATTAAATAATGATCTCAGCATCAAGATACAAACTCCCTACCTGTGCAGAATTTTCCCTTTTTGGATTTGTGATTGTATAATTTTTTAGTACACTACCACAGGTCCTTCTGAAATGTTGGCCTGTTTGAAACAGCAAATTGGACAATTTAGTGAGGACCAAAGTTGTTGTTTGTCTACTTCTTCAGTGACCACAATAACTAGGAAGCTGACCTTTTGCATTTTATTAATATGATTTCAGTTGTTTTGCGTTCATTAGTCTATTTTTGCTCTACACAACAGACGCTCAGCTGACCTGCATGGGTGAAGAAGGCACTTTATTTTGGAAAATTCTATTTAAGGTTGAAGTAGGAGAAAGAATTTAGGGTAGAAATTGATTGTTAAAGGGCCTTATGCAATTTCCACTTTCCTAAAACAGAACATCCTTCAATACTTAGCTAATAGTTACCTTTATTTAGAACAGGATAAATCACTGGTTTCACAGTTCATGTGACGCACTGAGGTCTGCTGGTGAACAACTTGTCTTTTTATCAGAGGTCATTATTCACAGTGTAAATGCAGTGCCCTCAAATAATTTCACATCGTATGGACGGCCTCCCACTGACCTGAGGCCCTGAGTTTTTTCGGGGGATAAATATTAGCATTCAGCTCATCTCTGCCTCACTTTCACAGATGTATGACTCACCAACTGCTGAAAGCTTGCCACCAGTTTTGCTGTAGGTTCAAATACATGGATTAGTTTATGGATTTCATTTTTCTTTTAGTTAGAAAGATTAAGGGATACTTAAGTATTTTCCAGAATTCAACTTTGGCATTTTCATGGTTCTGGCATTGTATATTAGTATTATATGCCTTCTTTAGAGGCAACGTAAAGGAAGAAGACATTGAAAATCTGAAATTTGAGATTTTTCTGTCATCTCCTTGTGCTAAAAGGAGGTGAGGGCAGGCAGAAGTGCCTGTCGGGCAGAAAAGCTGGAGAGGCAGAGGCCTAGGTCCTTGCAGTGAGGGCTGTTGAGCCCCTCTGCCCTCTTCCACTGCCCCCCACTCATCTGGCAGACTGCTGCATTAATATAGTCAAGCCCTCTGAAGCCATCAGGACATCTCCAGGAGCCCTGGAATTAATGTGACCAAGCCAAATGACACCCGGGGCAGGTGTGATTATGAGCTGAATGCCTGTTCTTACACAGTACCTGCGAGAAAATGGGAGCCGACTTTATTCCTCATCCCCAGAGAGATGTCAGGACAGTCAATACCGCTTCAAGTGAGAAAATGGAAGATGAGTGATAATAATATCCAGGAGTCTGTGACACACAGTCTGGCTCTCCTGCTGCCAGGTTCTTGGGGAGAAGAGACAAAGCAGATAGCTGGGAATTGTGCTCATTGATACAAGTCTTGGGGATCTGGCCTCTTTGGCTTTCTTCCCATAAATGAAGAGATCACATGGCACCTTTGGGCTATGCATATGGTGGAATCTGGATTTCACAGCCCTCATGCCACCTTTACAGGAAGGATTCAAATAGTTTAAACCACATGTTTCTGTATTCTTGAAGTACCCCATTGTGTCACTTAATTTTGTCTGTTTTCACCTCAGTCCTTGACGAAGACTAGATCAAAATATTTGAGAACTCATCTGCCCAAATCTTTGTCATAGGAATAAGTCTCTGACTCCTCTGAAAAGTAATGAACTTGTAGTTTATTGCTATGGAACTTGGGTCTGCCTGTTTGCCTACTTGTTCAGGGACTGCAAAGACTTCTGAAATTTTTTATATGACCCAATATTTGTCTAGGACTAAGACTTCCTTATTATCTAGTAGTCATTTCCACTTTTGATAACAGTGTTTAGTACTACAGATATACTACTTGTCATCTGGACTGCACTGGCCTAGTAGTAAAAAGCTTTAGTTTTGGGGGACAAAAAGCAAGTTCTGAGTAGTCCTAAGTAAAGCCAAGAAGCAAGTGACTTTCCCATGTCCAATCCACTTCCTCCGTCAATATTCATCTCCTTTTTTATAACTTATTACTTATTTTTATCCTAGGTACCATTTATTGCACAGTGCTAGGGAGTAAATCTATCTACCCTGTCAATCTTACAGATTTTTTTGTTCCTTCATTTCACATGCGAGGAAATACAGTACTGAGGCTTACGGCCTACATTAACCTTCTAACAGTCAGGGAAAGAAAGGACCGGACTCAGGACTCACTTATGTGAAATGTGTCATTCTCCTAGGGTATCCTTTCCCATCTCTGCTAAGACAGGCCTGTGAAAGTAAAAGTAAACTGAGATTCAGGCAAGATGTCAAGTGATTATTAAGGTTTTTTTGTGGCAAACACTTAAATTGATCACAAGCACTTTGGCTTTGCTTCTGCAGATATTTATAACTTAAGACTCAATATAAAATCAAGCTATAGCTATGGAACTGTGCATTTAGGGCTATTATTAATGCAGGGACTACCAAAGATTCCTCAGATCATTCCAGGTTCGTGCACTGTGGTGATAAAGCCCAGCAATTGATAGCACAGCTCTATGTACATAACAGTTGTGGGAATATACAGTGGATGTTTAGATTTAAAAACTAATCCTTTTAATGCCCTTCAAAATGTCCCTCCTCCCTTTGAACACACTTTTCCCATCGTTCTTGCACTTCTGAAGCAGTTCTGGAAATCCTCTTTTGTGAGTTTATAAATTTTAATAAAAAATACATTGAATGCTGTTGCTACCAAGTGACATCCAGCAGAAAGGCAGCTCACAAAAGCATGAAGGTTTGTCCTTATCCACCTTTTCACTAGATCTGGCCTCATGAGACTTCTGGCTCTCCTTCAAAGTCAAAATAACCATAAAAGATAGATATTTTGAATAGAGTCAGAACATGGAGGCAGCTACAACAACACAACTAAAGGGACTCAGGAAAGAACTTCCAGAATTGCTTCAGAAAGTGGCAAGAATGATGGGCTAAGTGTGTTCAAAGCAAAGGGGAATATTTTGGAGAGCATCAGTGGCAATGTATCTTTAGCTGTAATAAATTTTAAAAGTTACTCACCATATATTTTGATCATGCAGTACAAAACTTAGTTTATCATTTCATTAAGTGTAAGGCACGTAACTTTACCCTGTGATAGAGCCTCAGCTTTATCCACCATCCATGTATCTGTCTGCAAATCTGAAATGTTCATTGTTCAGAGGTCAGGTTTTTGTCTTAGGTTTTATATAATGTGTAGATGTATATTTTAAGAGAAGTGAAAAAATGATCCCTACTTCATGAAAATTTTAGGTTTGGCTTTATTTTATCAGTGTTTCAAATTAACCAGATATGCAAGTGAGCTTCCATGTTGCATTGCTTTCATGATGTTTTATCTTGTTTGTTCTTGATCCCAATTTTAGTGCAAATATACTTTTGGATGATCAGTTTCAACCCAAACTAACTGATTTTGCCATGGCACACTTCCGACACCACCTAGAAAAACAGACTTCTACTATAAATATGACCAGCAGCAGCAGCAAACATCTGTGGTACATGCCAGAAGAGTATATCAGACAGGGAAAACTTTCTACAAAGACAGACATCTACAGCTTTGGAATCGTAAGTGTCAACACTCACAAGTTAACACAGGAGCAAAGTTTATTGCACAGTTATGTTGTAGATTCTAAAATGAAATTTTTAAGAGCTGTTAATTTCTAGACTTACTCATTTTCTATAACTCATCTTATTAATTTTGTGTAATCAATGAACTAACAAAATGTGAAGCATTAGAACTGTATTCATTGTCATAGGTAATACTCTGACATAGATTATATGGGCATCCCCACATGTAACTGACTTTCTGTACATTCCTTACAGGTAATAATGGAAGTTCTGACAGGTTGTAAAGTGGTGTTAGATGATCCCAAACATGTTCAGCTGGTAAGAATCATTTTCCTGTTGGCGCCTGTTTCCTGATTGTTTTTCTGAGTGAATTCTATGTGATAACATTATTTCCTCCTCTTCTTAGCGGGATCTCCTTATGGAATTGATGAAGAAGAGAGGCCTCGATTCGTGTATGTCATTTGTAGATAAGAAAGTACATCCCTGTCCTCGGAACTTCTCTGCTAAGCTCTTCTCTTTAGCGAGCCAATGTGCTGCAACTCGGGCAAAGTTAAGACCATCAATGGATGAAGTATGTATATACCTGGTTATATACTGAGCCATGGAAAAGCTAAGTTGGATAAATTGTAAATCTGTCTTCTTTAGCAGTGAAACAAATCCAGCAAGTGAGCTTCCATGTTGCATTGCTTTCAAGATGTTTTATCTTGTTTGTTCTTGATTCCAGTTTTAGTGCAAATATACTTTTGGCCCATAGAAAATTTCAGCTAAAGGTAATCTTTCCAGGTCAAAAAGACACATCATTTGGTATTCAGGTCGAGGTCGTTATTGGGCGAATCCAGAATGCTCCCAAAACTTAATAAAAGTAGTTTGGAGAAAATATTTTATTCAGTATTCATTAAGATATGTAGCCCACCAAAATGTGTCACATATTTCCTCTACTCATTTTTCAGTTTATTCATTTGCCCATGGATGTAACTAATTAACTGTGCATCACTTGTTTGTTTGTGTATAAATGAATATCAATTAACACCTACTCTGCATGTACAGACTTTGCACTGGGTGCTGAGGGTGGTTAAGAGGCAGTGCTTACCCTGAAGGTCACAGTCAAGGAGAAATCAGATCACTAAACATAGATTTTTTTATCTGGAAAGATAGGGTAAGCACTAGACTGAAGCTCAGGCTGATGTGGGAATATAGAGTCAAAATGCGTACCAGCCTATAGCTGTCCAGGGAGTTTCTTGATGGAGGTGATGGCTTAGCTGTGATCTGCAGATTAGGTTGGGTGTAGGCAGCAGGAAGGATAGGAAAACATTGTCAGCAGAGAGAGTCATCACCCACAAAGGTTTCTGTGTGATAAGAGACCGAGGAGTAAGACTGTTGCCTGTTCAGGATCATGGAGATAGGGTGGGAGAGAGGCAAAGCTGGAGTCACTAAAATAACAAAGGTTCTCAGGTGATAAAGGGGCCTGAATTCCATTCTAAAGGTTTGGATTTTTGTTTCTAGTCTATTGTGGAGCTATGCGAAGGCTTTAAACAAGGGGTTGACATAATCCGAATATGAAGAGCACTGGCCTGGGAGTCAGAAGGGCATATTCTAGGCCTGACACCACCAGGAAGAGCTCTTGGGCTCCTGGGCCCCGCAAGGAATTATGAGCTGCACGTTAGAGTTGCTAGAATTGGGTGCCCGGAGATCTGGGGACAGGCGTCAAGGCTGTTGCTCACATGTTGTGATAACTGATTTCCTTTGCTGACCCTCAGTTTTATTAGTAATAAAATCAGAATAATGTTATTATTTGTATAGACTAAATGAGGCAGTATACATGAAAACACTTTCAAGTGGTAAAACCACATATTTTTAAAAATTATATGTGTGCATGTGTAAAGATATGTCAAGGATTCTCAAATTTGGCTGCATGCCTGAATCATCTGGGATGCTTTTAAAGTACAGATTTCTGGACCCTCATCTTATTTTTTGAATGAAGTCTTTAGGTTGGAGTCAAGGGATCCGTATGACGTATGATCAGAATATAAGGTGAAAGTTTAATTTTTTTAAAAAATTATTACAGTGAAAGACACATGCTATTAATTCCCCTCAGAGTGTTCTCTTTCACTTTGCACACTGATCTCATCATTCTTGCCACCTGCTGAAGCAGTTTGGAAGTCCTTATTCATGAGTGTCTTACTGTGATCAAAACCCAGGTGAATGCTGTTGCCTACTGCCAGTAAATGGAAAGGCAGGCTCACAAAACATTCCTTGAATCTGACACTGGCTCTTCCCCAAAGTCAAAATGACCATGAAAGGTAAATATTTTGAATCCATTCAGGTTATCCTGCTATGATAGTGCAACTAGAGACATAAAGGAGGACTTCATTTACTTCAATCATTTTTTAAAAATTTTTTTAGTCACACATTTTTTCAGTCACATTGTGTATTTATAGAACTACTTTCAGATGATTCTGCAGATGGGGTCAGCATTGCCCCATGCCCTTCTGGTCTCCATTCATTATGATTGATGTTAAAAAAATACAAAAACTCGCTCAAGGCCACAAAGTAATTGGTGGCAAATCCAGGGCTGGAGTCAATTTGCATGATATGTAGGCCAGTGTGATTTCTTGTATACCATACTGAAAGTCACTTGGTGTGGTCCTCAAAATGAAGGAATTTTGCTAATATTTAATTAAGGTCTTTCCTAATTCTGTATTCTAACTTACTGAACTTATTCCATGAAAATGAGAGAATATTCTTTATAGGTAGACAAAAAGAAGTGAAAGAGTATACTATTCAAGCTTAACACTGTGTTTGTTTACTTCTTTGTTAATTAGGTCCTAAACGTTCTCGAAAGCACTCAAGCCAGCTTATATTTTGCAGAAGACCCCCCTACATCACTCAAGTCCTTTAGGTGTCTTTCTCCTGTATTTTTGGATAATATTCCAAGTATTCCAGTGGAAGATGATGAAAGCCAGAATAATCATTCACCACCTCATGACAAAAGTTTGAGGAAAGATAGAACTCCAAACATTCCTTTTGAATGTAGCCAATCTGAGGTTACGTTTCTGGGCTTGGACAGAAAGACAAGGAGTAAGAGAAATGAGGATGCTTGTGACATGCCCCATTTTCCTTGCAAGGAAAGTTGGTCCTCAAAACATACAGCTTCATCTCAGGACTTACAGCCCACTGAGGTAAGTTTGGACTCTTCCTTTGAAGCCTCAAGCCAGTTTTGTGGCTTACAGAAGCAGACCAGCGAAGACTAGGTGCTCCTCTGAAATTTTCTGGAGTAAACATGAACAGTGCCAAAAGGAATTAAAGGAAGAAAAGAGAAAAGCGGTTGTTGCTGAGACACTGTGCAAAGGATGGGAGAAAACATGGTCTCCATAAGTAATGCTCATACATGACCTGCGGCATATTTGGGTAATGCATATAAACACTAAGGCCATTCCTTCCCATCCCAAAACAGAGTGACTTAAACAAATGTTTTACCAGAGTAATTGCCTCATGATCAAACAATTTAGAGCCATTCACAATTACTCAAGACTGTATGTTCAGCCAAACAAAACCATCAGAGCCTACCAAAGAGGGACTGGATTCTCATGTCCAGCATCACCCACCAAATCCTTTGAACCTTCTCTGCTATGGATATTCAGTTGGATGCTGTTGATTGCTTTAGTTTGCTTGTGAAGGAAATGTGTAATTTTTAAATGTTAATGGATATCTTTTGAAAGAATTGCCTTTTTACTGTGATTGGGCCTTAGTAAATATCATCAAACTTACCTATCTTAAAATAGCTAAGTTTGCTGATGGCTTCGTAGGGCATGCCCTATGCAGAGATGGCTGCCCACAATCAGTATTTCTGTATTTAAACTCTTAGAATAATTTATTACATGCAATCTAGTTTTTGACTATTCCTGCTGATTTTTACTAATTCAGAGAATTATTATCTCCTGAGTAAAAGGTATGCCATTTTAATTAAGTAATTGTTGTTGAAAAAATAACTGGTCACAAGAGTCTAGGTCAGCTTTTTGTTATAATCTGTGCCTTTCGACTGTATGCCTTTATTCCATCTGTGTTCTGGAATCTCTTCTTTTGAAATCCTAATCAATTGTTAGGCTTTATAAAACTCTCATCTGCTAGGAAGCCTCTTTAGTCTCTTCAGCTGGAAATGTTCAGTTTATCAGCATTTCCATAGCAGTATTTTTGTATTTCTGTTTTATGGTTGTCAGTTTCTGAATTATACCAAAGTTGCTCATGTCACCCTGTCTCTCTTCCTAGACTGTAAATTTCTTATACTATACTATTTCTTATACTATACTATACTATACTATACTATACTATACTATACTATACTATACTATTTCTGTTGCTATTAGAGCAGATTATCATAAATTTAGTGGCATAAAATATCTCACTCAGTTCTTGCGGTCCAAAGTCCATGGCACTCCTTTTTTGCCTTGCATTTTCTAGCATATGGTGAGCCATCTTCATATCTCACCTCATAGCCTCTTCCCATTAAAAGATGTAGAAAGTTTGGTAAAAGCACAGCTTTTAGGGACCTATCATTGACTATTTATTCAGTCTGAGGTTAAAGATTGACTTTCTGGGTGGTTCCCAGGTGGCCCTGAGGCTGCTGAGGCAAGCCCACTCGTTGAGAACCACTGCCTTAACATTTTCTCAAATTCTTATGTATTGGAAGACTAACATATTTTATGAGGAAAAGATCATTTATTTTATTTGTTTTTTATTGTTTTGTTGTTATTGTTTTTGGCTTTTTTTTTTTTGTATTTACTCTCATCTAGGATATTGGTTAGCATGGAGTAGAAACTCTAGGAATATTGACTAATGATCTTATTAAGTTTGTCTATTTTGCACATCCAAAGATTTAAGTCAGATTAATTTGCAGTGCTCTGATTGATGCTGATTGATCTGGTTGATAAGCAGATGCTACTGTTGCTGAAAAGTACCTAATGTTCCATTGAATGATTCAGTCCTCCTTACTAGATTTGGCTTCTGGTGGGTGCATGTTAATTGGTAGGAATTAAATCTTGCACCCTGCAATAGGAAATCAGAGAGTACCTTCATGGCTTCCTGATGTGGAAATTAAGATATGAAGAAACGGAGAGTGAGCTGTGCCTCTGATCTGCAAACATGAATTTGAATAAAGAATTTCACTTATCACAGAGAACAGTAGCACACACTTTCACTCCCGGCGACTCAGGAGACTGAGGCAGGACGGTATTAAATTTGAGATGATCTTGGGCAACCTAGCCAGACTGTATCTCAGAATAAAAAACACCAAGTTCTGCAGGTGAGTCTCAGCTGTAGACTCCTGCCTGACATGCTTGAGGGCCTGGATTCAAACTCCAGCACCACGAAAAATAAAATAATCTCATCTTCATCCTTAGCATAACACAATCTATTTTCTGTGCTTCTTAGAGCATCATCCATTCATAATTCCCTAAAAACATGGAGAAAATAATTTTGTTTTGAAAATAGGTATGAATTTTTTTTTATTGGTACTGGAGATCAAACTCATGACCTTGCACTTGCTAGGCAGGTGCTTATGCCACTGAGCTAAATCCCTGGCTCTAAGTATGGATTTTTGACATAATCAGTTTGATTGACTTTTTGAGTATTGTAACAGTCTGTGACTCACTGCATAATAGTGTGTTTTATGGCATGGGACACCAGCCTGTGTAGGGTAGGACACCTGTTAAGACCCATGGCCTGTGAGGCTAGGACGTTATCACCGTGGTGTTTATTAACCATCTTTTAGAATAAGGCACTGTGTTAGCAAATTGGGGTCTAAATAAGAAGCACTTTAATAAGCAGGAGGGCATCTACTTAAATTACCTACTTAGTGACATCTGTTATTTGAGGCATACATCAGTGGAACTGAAAGTAAATGCTGAAAAGTGGAAGATAAGTAGAGTACTGTTCTCTTTTGAGAGTGGAGAAGCTTCTTGGAGCTGCTTCCTGAAAAGAGAAAAATGACTAAGAGAATATTAGGAAAAATCAATGAAAAGTGCTAGATAGTGGTTATCCCACGAACAGAGATGTGACCTTACCATCAAAAACCAAATAAAATTAGTGATCTTTTTCTCATAAACTATATGGTAGAAGGATGGGTGAGTGATGGGAAATGGATGTGGGACTTTGGGCGTTTTTTTCGTGCTTAGTCCCGATAGCTGCCCTGAAGATGAGAATCCCACCTCATAGGTGAAGAAACTGATTCAGGAAAGTTAAAGAACTTGGCTAACATCCTCCCAGATTTGAAAAAGGTCACCAGATTTGTCAGACTAGATCTCTCCAGTATTCCATACTGCGCAAAGGAGTCACTGGGAGTTCAAGCCTATGCCAGGATAAGGATATGAAAAGTGATTTGTCAGTTTTATACCTTTGTAGGAGGCTTACAAGGCTTTTCATCACTTCTGCATTTTTCAGTATCTTGCCCTGTGCCTCTGCAGTCATTTGATGTGACTTAAATTCATCCATTAACTCATTGTATGAATATCAGCGGCCTCTTTTGTGTCAGGCACTGTTGTAGGAGCTGGGGATATGGTGAAAGTTAAACCTATCAGAGATCCCATCCTTCTGGAGCTTATTCTTGAGCAAAAAGATTTCAGCATGTTCTCCAGCCGTAGGTCTCACCTTCTCTGTGAGCTTTTCCTAAGAGATTCAGACAAGTTTCTTCCTTGTCTGCTGTAAAACTCATAATCCCAGAGTGCCCCTGGCTCGCTGTTAGTGTCTTCTGACAGCATATGACATGTTTTATGGCAATCATGACAAGCCCTATTTTTCTATTAAAAATTTCCTTCAACACATTTATTTGGCTACTAATGGCATCTTTGGCATGCTGTTTTCAAAGGGTCTGAAGTCCTACCTAAATCTCATTGCACTGTTTACATAATGCTGGGATTACTGGTAGAATTCTTTTTCCTCCTTTACAAAACTGGAAGTTCATTGGGACAACGGCTAAGTCCTGCTCATTTTCTATCCTTATTGGACAGCATCCTACCTGGCATGTAATGTGGTCCAGTAAATATTTGTAAAATGAGTGAATCAAGACAGTTTTTCAAAACTTCTTCAAACCCATTGGTTATACTAGAGGTGGAGAATGTGTGGCACTAGTGCTGCTGCTGACTGTTTGGTATTATTGAAAGCTTTCAAAGGTTTACAATCACTGGTGTGTTCTATGTCAAGACCATATTCCAGATTGCGCCCAGTTTGTCTTTCTGGTATCCATAATACAATCAGTCATTTGCTTACATAGTTCCATTTCATCATTCTTGGATGAAAGTTATTCATTTCATATATTAATGTCTGAAATATCTTTGAAAAAATGAATTACCTTGTATATGTTGCATACCAATTTGTCCTATAGTAGAAAACATTCTCAAGCCACGTTAAAGCAATATGATAAACCAATATTTTGGCAGGGAATGAACTGATGTTTGCTGTGTTTTGTTTTGTCTTTTTGTCACACAGTATTTATATTTGATTATCCTTGGTCTTGACTTGCAAATATTTTTTTGAGAAACATTTGTATTCTAAAGCACTATATTTTCTACCAAATTGATGAACCTTTTTATGGATATTATCTGCCTTGTCATAAACTTTTGCAGTCAATTCTATCAATAACAAGAGAGTATTTAGAGTTTTTGTTTGTTTTCTTCTTCTTCTTCTTCTTCTTATTATTATTATTTTTATTAATGTACCTGGGATTGAACTCATGACCTTGTGCTTACCAGGCAAGTGTTTGAGCCTCTGACCTAAATCTCCAGTCCAGGTTTCTTAGTTTTAAAATATTCTCAGAAACCAATATTAATTGGAACAAAAGGTAATAGGGTAAAAAGCTTATTTGTAGAAGATATACTCAGTTATCATTTTTATGTGTCATAGTGTGTGGAGTGTATTCCATATCATTTAAGCTTTAAACAACCTATTGAGTTCGATTCTGTTACTGTGGAGCCAAGGAAAATGATCCTAAAAGAAATTCACTCTTGTCCTGAGTTACATTAGTGTTGGCTTGGGAATGCAACCTGAAAACTTTCCAAATTCAAGAAGTTTCTGCCCTGAAGAAAGTTAACAGAAATTGAAAGTACCTCCGGTTTAATAATGAAAACAGCTATTAAGTATATGTGTGATTATTTTCTTATTTTTAATTTCAGCCTCCCAAATTGACAAAGAATAAAGCAGTTGACAAGAATATTAGTGAAACAACATTCTTCTTCTCTTTTCTTTGAAACAACATTCTTCTTCACTGATGATTGACATGAAAATTGGTATAACCTTTCTAGAAAACTATTTGGCAATATATAGCAAAACTTTTACCTAGCAGTTTATTTATGAGTTAATCTCAACAAAAATAAACATAAGCCCAACTGTATAAACATAAGCCCAAAGATGTACTTCATAAATTTAAACATTGAAAGTAACCTAAATATCCACAGTAGAAGATGGTTTCAATAAATTACCACACATATATGCAATTAAATTGTATGCCATTGCCATTAAAAATTTTTAGGTCTATATTTATTGCTATGAAATCTGTTTATGAATATTGAGTGAAAAAGCCTACCGAGTGGAATGTTTAATGCAAGCCCACTTAATATTGGATATTCTGTGATAATACATGCTTATGTTTCATGGAGAGCCCTTTGCCAAGTGTTGATGCTTTTTCTTTTCTGAGATGAAGTATTTATTTTCACCCTTATGTATTTGAAAATTTTATAATATGTATCACTTTTATTATCTGGAAGGAATAAAGCTATTTTTATTTTGGAAAAATTCTCTGCATTTCTACATTTTCTTGATTCTTTGCTTCATATGTCCTTGGTAACAACTAGCCAGCAGTAATGATGCTTCTGTCCTATTGCCTTTCATTATTTCTAGCTTCCCACCTTCAAATGACTAGACCTTCAAATGGATTTGTCTGGTGTCTCCTGAGTTAGCTTGAGAGGACAAGTGAAAAGCAGTCTAAGAAACAAAAATCAGACAAGCTGAAATACAGAATAGAGCACAGCTAAGATCACAGCTGAGAGTACTTTGTCACTAAATATTGGTTGATTTTGATAAAATCTTTTAAACATTACCCTTAAGATTTAGCCTTACAGATCAGCACTGTAAAGAGTTATCTACAATTATGTGAACAGATCTTTGAGGAGATAAATTTTCTATCATTAAAATATCAATTCTCCAGGCTCGTGTTCCACTATCTGTATGTAGCCTACATAAAAACTTTAGCTTGCTCAATTTAGTAGACTCTTGACTGTAGTTACCAGTTGGAAATGGAGGTTGGAACACTGCAGAGTGTGACTGAATACAGTGCACTTCTATAGCATGTAGAGATGATGCCTATGTAACAATGGTGACAGGATCTGCAGTAACACATTAATTATAAAGAGACATAGCAAAGTATACTCTGGGGGAAAATACCAGTGCTAGTTAAGTTCTATCTGGAGGGACTATTTTGTGGACATAACTAAGTGACACAGTGTGTAAATGTGATGTAAATGCTTCTAGATCCAGTTGAAAGAGAAATGAGTGGTAGGTTCTTAAAACAATCACAGATTTTCTCTTTTGATGTTAAATCAATGCACTGTGTTTCCTGGAAGGGAAATTTCAGTTAATACCAACTGTAACATTACCACAAAGATTTCAGCAAGAAAGAAGTTACGGAATCTAATTCATACATGCAGTGAAAATGCGACCATTTCTAAACAGCTCATTGAAATGAGGTATAAATAACATCTGGTTGCCTTCCCAATCTTTATGTATTATTCACTAATGATAATCTCATGTCATTCTGAAAGTTATAGAGGCTAATTATGTTGTAATTGCCGTACCATTAAACACTGAATTGTGTGATATTTCTTTTTCTAATGTTTATAACTCAAGATTTTTTTTTTAAAAAAAAGAGCAGCACTGACTTGAGCCAAGGGTAAATATTAATCTATGACCTTTCATTGTTTTTGCTTTGTGTACCCTGGAGGAAAATTTAAGATGCCAGTATGCTTACAAAGCCAAATATGTATGCTTATATTAGCTCAACTGCTGACAGCTCTAAGCTATTGCTGAGATGGGAGGCAGAACAGTTGCTGACATTTTCATTATGTATTTGTCTAGCAGTTTGAAGAGAGTGAAATAATCTGTGTGATTACTTGAAGCCTATCTTAAATTCATATTCCCAGTAATAAGTATCACTGTATTTTAGAAAGCATTCTGACTTATCCACAACTTTCTTCCTATTTCATATCCTAGAATTATCATTCTTGATTTCAATGGTCACTTTAATAAATCAAGTAGCATTATTGCCTCATGGTCAAAAAGTCTCATCCCTCAGAGTGAATCCATTCACTTTCTGTTTTCATTTCCATACCCTTTACTCTTTTTTTTTGGTACCAGGTATCAAACTCATGACCTCACACTCGCCAGGCAGACACTTACACGGCTGAGCTAAATCCCCAGCCCTCTCCCTTTACTCTTTCCATATCAGAAATCATGGTATGGTTTTACTGACCTTACAAAGATACCTCTTATCTGATATCTCTATGTTCTCCTGGCCTGTTTATCACTGCTGTCTTACCCTACTGAACTCATGTTTTTCTTTGCATAGACTGGGCTATGGATTCATCTGTTTCAGCAATTCTTTCAGGGAAATAGAACTGCATTAAGTATTTAAATGGGGAATTTAATATTGGAAAATGGATTATCAAGGAGTGTAAAGACTGGAAATGCAAAAAAAAAAAATTTCCTAGAGATGAATAACTATAGGCGGCTGGAAGTGGTGGCACACACCTGTAATCAGCACTCAGTAGTCAGAAGCAGGAAGATCATCATGAGTTTGAGCGCAGGCTGGTCTACAATAATGAGCTCAACACCACCCTGAACTACATGGCAAGACCCTGTATCAAAAAAATAAAAGCCAGTGACGCCTACAGGAAACCAATTTCTTACTGATAAGGGAGAGCTGTGGGACTAAAAGCATAGGACACTGTGTGACTCACGACTTGGCTGCTGATGTTTCTGGACTGGCACTGCTGAGGAAGAAAACAAAACCTGACCTGCCCCCTCTGCTGACACTTCTGACACAGCCAAGGGCCCAATAGGAAGCAGAGAGGAAAACACTGATATTCCTTCCATGGTTTATAAGGAAAAGTTGGCTGGTAAGAACGTCTAAAAGGTGTAAATTTTTTTCTGTATTGTAGAAAAAAAAACTTGAAAGAGCAGGAATAGAGCTGAGAGCTAACGGACAAATCCCAGTCTGTCTCTTCAGCCTTCATTCTCACCCTTTTACCACGTGTTCAAACCTTTAGCCATAGATTATATAAATATACCCTAAGTAAGGAAGAGCCACGGTCCGAAAAGAAATGACACAATTTCTTGTCATAGATTATTTCTAGCTCTGGGTGATCTTAATTTTTCTTCCATTTTAATTACACCCTCTCTTAATGTCCTAAGGAAAAAAGTCATCATCAGCTACATTTCATATATAGGAAAAAAGAGCTAGTTAATTTATACAAATAAATACAAATCAAAGGAAAGAAAGATAAGGAAATACGAATGAACCTCATAAATTATTTCTGTGTTGTCATAAGATTGCAATTTATAGCGTGTTTTTCCATTATCCTTCCAAGTTTCCTTTGCTATAAATCTTCTAATTGGTTATTGTGTCAGTCAAAATCTCCAGAGAATACAATCAATAAGCTACATATAGATATATAAGAGCAGATTTATAATGGGAATTGGCTTCCACAATTATAAAAGCTGAGAGGCCTCACCGTCTGCCATCTGCAAGCTGGAGAACTGGGAAATCCAGCAGTGCGATTGCAGTTAGGGCCATAGATCTGAGAAGGGAAAGGACAGTGGCCCTAGAGCCTGAAGATTCGTGGACCAACAGGAATGATGTTGCCACTTCTAAATGATGTGTGAGGAGAGAGAAGATAGTTGTCCAATTCAAAGAGAGAAAGAAATTCACCCTTCCCTTTTGTTTTATCGAGGTCCTCAACAAATTGGATGATCCCTACCTACATTGATGAAATCAATCTAGCCTCAGTATACCAATCGAATGCTAATATCTTCCAGAAATAACGTCATGAATACACCTAGGAATAAGACCTTAGTAGTTCTTACAGTCAAGCTCATTAACCCTCACAGTTGTTTGGGCTTCTTCCCCTAAAGCATATTTCACCGTGAAATATCGAAGTCCTTAGGGGTCCTGCCTTTATTGGGATGCTAACACATACTACTGTATATAACACTATTAGATTTCACACTTCTCTGTCTTCATTGTGTTACAATCAATACTGACAGCTTGAAAAACTTCATTCTTCTTCTTGTATCAGTAGCATGAAGAATCCAAAATGGCCATCCCTTAACTTCTAGGTTTATGAAAGCATTGTTCTACACACATAGAATAATCTCTCACTTCAGACCTAAGAACTTCAAATTAGCAAATCCCAGAGCTGAAAAGATGGGAACCCAAAAATAAATAAAAAACAAAAACAAAACACTGAGTGGATTTAAAAGTAAGAGGAAGGGAAAGGCCAGTTACATTTCACCCTTTGGTTGTTAGACCTCTATATTTATGATGTGAGAGAAATAGCACTCTGAACTTGTCATTATTTTGAAGCCTATGTCATTTAGGCTTGTATTGGTCAGGATTTTACTAGAGAGAACATATATAACCCGGAATATACAGAAACAACAAGATTGGCTTACGATAGTCAGTCACAGAGTCCGATGATGAAGCGTGCAGAGGGTGTCTATGCACTGGAGGCCGAAGGGTTCAATCCAAGATCTCTGGAGTTCACCCTAGTTTCTTGTGCAAGTCCACACCAGCAGGCTGATGGATCCGCGACAGAAGGCCGAAGGCTCTGTGATGAAAGCTGAAGAGTCTACGCTGGGAAGCTGAAGAGTCTGTACTGGAAGCCAGGAGGCGAGGTCCAAACTAAAGGCAAAGACTGAAGCTTCTCCCAAGAATGGCATAGATTTGTCCTTCCTCTTCTCCTTTTATACCTCGAGGTGATAACTCACCCTAGGGTGGGTCTTCTTCTACATCCTTGGATGCAGAATTGCTAAACCCATTTAGTTAGCTTCTAACTGTCTCAAGTTGACACAATCAACCACTAGAAGGCTCAAAGTATTATCTCCTAATTGACAGCATAATGGAGTGCTTAGGAGGCCATTTCAAAGATGTATAAAACCAGCTGGCAAACAACATATTTGGTACCGTTCCTGTTTTTCAGGAGCTATTCGAGTTCCTCAATAAATTTTCCTACTCTTAACCTCCATTATTCTTTAGAGTTTATATTTCGACTTTGGGGAACATAGTCTAGGTTTATCTGATATATAGCATGTTGAGAATCATTTTACACCTATATCATTTTGTAGATTGCTGTGAGATCTTTAAAAAGAGGAATGGGTTTCCTTATGTTTCATGATGCCAAAAATGTGTTTTTGAGTAGATTCTAGATTATGGTTCATGCGCTAATGGGATCCCAATGATTTGCATAGCCTTGTGGGAGAATAGCTTTGTAGATATACACCAATAAACATTTCTAAACACATTATTTTAATATGTTTACATGTAATGTGTAGATTTTAATGTTTATAGTGGTTAATGTAGCCAGCGCTTATATTGGTTATCATCAAATGGTTAAATTTTCTGTGAGTAAAACAGTAAGGTTTTCTTATTAAAAGATGCTCCTGATACAAAACTAAATTAAGAGGCAAAGATTTCCAAATAGTTGTGACGTTGTGGCACTTATTATTGTTACTTTCATGAG